TGTTGATATTTATAAACACCCAACTTGCTGGCTGTTCAAACTATCACCATGACAACAGGACAGGAAGCAGGAAGTAGGCAGCCGTCCATTGGAATGGAGTTGAGAGATAACTCCTGCAAACTCCTAGTTTCATGGCTCTTCTCACCATCGCTCTGCTCTCCCATCAGACACGGAAACATGACCAATGCTTTTGTCCATGCATGTGCGTGCGTGCGTGCGTGAGTTTGACATCTGACTCCACACATGCAGACATTCAAACCACATGCAGCATACCAGGTCCCTCTGCAGTTAACCTCTCAGTGGGTCAAGCCTGTGGATATTCTTAGAACAGGAAGATAACTGCAACGTCATAAATACTTCTGAAATCCATGATTATATTTCCACACAAAAACATCAGCCATTGGGCCTTGCTGAATGTTATGACCTTGACTATATCATGTATGTCTACTGAGACCAAGAATAATATAATGTTTTACTGATTTTAGGACGTATTAATATGCATTAAGTTGCTTTCTCTTGGTTTTAGGAATCGGTTTTACAGTTACACGGTGGAAATATTAATCCAAAGACAACTGCATGATCTTGTATTTGTTCCTTGTCCAATTGTTGGATCACAATGAAATATCGGTGTATGAAATGTACGCTCTTTATGCAGGTCGTAGAGGTCTGGTTGCATGGCTCTCCTCTTGTTTTCTTAAAGATGCCATTCCTTTTTCCACCTCCTACCCCTGAAAAGCTTGCTAAATGTGGCTGCAGACCTATAAAACTGACAGATGAGGTGTCAGTAGGGCAATGTGGCACTTGCAAGAAGCCCGGGCTGCATTGCAATTTTGTTATGAGTCCGGATAGAATTGTCTTGCGGGTATGTGGGCACTATTCTATATATAAACTAGATGGGCTAAGATGTCCCACTTGTCTTAGCTATGTGCAATATCCTCTTCCTCACTGTTGTCTCTCAGTGCAAAATATGGCCAAGCAAAGTTACCTCATTAGAGTCCATGCTGACTCGACAATGGACACACATGCTCCGCTTAATAATTTTAAAACATGATTCAGAATCATGTCATTATTTTTTACCATCTTTTTTTATCAAGTCATGCAGAATAATCCCATTCAATATCACCCAGTTCCTTCTTCAGGGATATAACTGAATGAGGAAGTGATCAGACGAATGAAGACAGTAAACTATTATTGTGCAGTCACTGAAGGCAGCTGGTGGCTGCAGGTGACTCTCCTGACGGTCAGAGCGTGTTGGATCTTGTTCTTTGCAGTGGGAATGTTTTACTGTCTGGCTGTTGTCTCTTGGTGAACGTGCTCCTGTGTTACTTACTTGTCACGAGCATTTTAGTTCCAAACTGAAGAATTTAACACTTTGCAGGGAATGAAGTGGCATTTACAAATGTTTTTGTACCACACCGTGTGTTTCTAAGTCTGGGTTACATTGTTTACTATAATTGTTAAACTCGGGTAGATATGTATGTTAATTTCAGGCTTTAACTGCATTTTGCAAATATAGTCGGTAGAAAGCCGTAAAATGTCCATCTCCCAGTCCCAGAGAGTGTGATTTATTTTGCCTTCACTGACTGAAAAGACACAATTGACGTGTGTGTGTGTGTGTGTGTGTGTGTGTGTGTGTGTGTGTGTGTGTGTGTGTGTGTGTGTGTGTGTGTGTGGTGTGTGTGTGTGTGTGTGGTGTGTGTGTGTGTGTGTGTGTGTGTGTGTGTGTGTGTGTGTGTGTGTGTGTGTGTGTGTGTGTGTGTGTGTGTGGTGTGTGTGTGTGTGTGTGTTGTGTGTGTGTGTGTGTGTGTGTGTGTGTGTGTGTGTGTGTGTGTGTGTGTGTGTGTGTGTGTGTGTGTGTGTGTGTGTGTGTGTGTGTGTGTTGTTCCTGCCCCAGCTTGTTTCAGAGAAAACAGTCCAGAAATCAGTTGAATCACTAAAAACTCATACTTTAGTGCTGCTCCTCCCCGTTTACATCAAAACTAAGAAGACACTGTGTTTATTTCTAGACTTATGAACAATACTTTTAATTTGATTAATTTTAGGACATATTTCTAATTAACATGTTCGTTTCTTGTCCAAAAATGCATGTTTACTTAATCAGTGACTGCTTTGTGTCTGCTTTTATCAGAAGGTTGTCATATGTTCTAACATTTCCAATGACGCTAGCTACTCCCTGTTATCTTATCTCATTACAAACCAGTATACAAGACTTGCATTTATTGAATTGATTTACTACTCATCAGAACTACAGTACAACACATTTTTGATAGCATTTAGATAAAATAGTAGATTCATCACAATAGAGAACATAACTATGACCCTGTGTTGTACAGCAGTAAAGGCCCTGTCACACTGTCCCGAAATTGACACCCGATGGACACACGATAAAGGAAATGTTCAAATTCGGCTGTGATCGTAGCAACATCGGGCCATTCGTGAGGCCATCTTAAGCCATCGTATGACCGCCGGTGGAGTTTCTCAGGCTCCGGCAGCAACTTTGTGAGCGGCAACTTCGTAAGGCACTCGTGAGGACATCTTGTCAAATCGTGTCATCTTCGTGTTATCATCGGTGCCATCGGGCATTCGCCCTCACTCTGATCGGGGCAAATGCCCGATGGCACCGATGATAACACGATGCCCTCACGATGGCCTTACGAAGGGAAAAATTGACACACGAATTCAACACGAAAATGAACCTTCGCAAGGTCCTTCGGCAATTTTTTGGCATGCCAAAGATTTTGCCACCGCTCACGAAGTTGCTGCCGGAGCCTGAGAAACTCCACCGGCGGTCATACGAAGGCTTAAGATGCCCTCACGAATGGCCCGATGTTGCTACGATCACAGCCGAATTTGAACATTTCCTTTATCGTGTGTCCATCGGGTTGTTTTATTGCACAACAAAATCATGTAAATATATTATGTAAATAACCCAATTTGTGTTCTGTGAAACTAAAAAGGATATAATATATTATTTTGAAGGACAGTTGACAGGAAGTTGTTGTTGTTATGGAAACAACATTACGGAGAAAACGTAATATTTTCTACATATAACGACGGATAAAGTAAAGAACAAAGTCTGAAGATATCAGTACTGTATCATAGTACTGTAACACAATTGTTTTTGGTACTTTCATTGCAGTTGTATGTCTTAAATGTAATGTAAATGTTGCCTTCGTGTGTGGTTCGGGGTCATCATCGTGCGAAATTCACAATTCCATATTCGTGTGTCCATCGGGTGTCAATTTCGGGACAGTGTGACATGGCCTTTAGGGAATGCATGAAATAACCACAAACTTTAATTGTAATCTCTTGTGAGAATCAACTCTCTCTCCTTTCCTTTATTCCTTTTCCTCCTGACTCTATTCTTTTCTCCTGCACCCAGAGGAAGGTTGGTCAATGGGCCACGAGGAAGTCTCCCATGACTAATCACTTCTCTTGGTGGTACCTTTTTTTGTATTGGTCTTCCTTTTTTCTGTGTTTATATCTTGACATTACTTGCACTTTAAAAGATGTATCGTAGCTGTGAAGCAATGTTTAACCTCCACACCCTGTCTGTATCCTATTTGAGTAATACAGGAATGTTTGGGGCTCTAGTGAAGCGAATGCATGATCAATTAAACAGGTTTAACAGGTTTTTGGCATTTCAATTGAAGCAGGTTTTTTATGCAGAATAAAACCTGTGTTCTCAGTGGTGTGTTTCGGTGATGTTACAGTGAGACTAAAACAGAGAGCTGAGCACAGTTTGTCCATGTTCCTTCACTCAAAGTAAACATCAATATGCCTGACATTTGCCCATGTTTGTCTTTGAAGCTTTTTGACTGTATGTGCAGTCAAAAAGCTGTGTGCATACTGTGTTGAATCCTTCTGTCACTGCACACTGTGGATGCATCATTTCCATTTCATAGGGGCTGACTGAAGTCATGTGTGTGTGACGCTAAGCCTTGAACGCTCTTACTCAGCATGGTGTCTTACAAATCAAATTGCATCACCAACTCCTTCCTATGGGTGCAGTCAGTGCAGTCATTCACATTCCCACGCACAGCATTGACAGCATATCTAAAACTACACAGCAAGGCACTTGATAATTAGTATGTGAGTAGACAATACTTCATTTAATACATGTGATTACATTATTTGGATGAGGAGGAGGTCATCAGCTAACTGATTCAGTGTGTAACTAATGAACTACTGAAGTCAGAAAGTTGGTTTGTAATTTACTGGATTTAATTAGGTTAGGTCTCTGAAGTGAATGACAGACGTGGAGAAGCTGCTCATAAAATGAACGTGCGGTTATTCTCGGTATGTGTGTGTGCTTGTTTGTGAAAGCTTTGCATAATGTTATATCCATGGTTCAACATTTGCATTTTGTATTGCATTCTGTGGTTTGCAACAACACCCTTTCTTTGGAATAATACTAATGTTCACGGTGTTTCATGATGTAGATGATACATATATATTTGTTTTAACCTGTTAAGCCCCGAGCCTGTTTTTCAAGTCTCAGACTCGAAAATGACATTCCCAGAACAAATTATCATATCTTCACTTCTAAAAAGGGGTAAATTAATAATATTTTTTCTCAAAGCAATTATAAACCTTTGAGTTGGATGTAGAAAAGTCAGAATCAATATAGAATTGTTTTTATTTTAAAGTCAATTCAGATTGAACATAGTAAAACAATTTAAATGATAGTGTCCGTCCAAAAAAACCCATTACTTATAGTGAAAACCACCCTTGAATGATGGGATAGTAGACTAAAAGCTTTAGGAATCCAAACTATAACATATAATAAGTACCCTGTATCAAGATTGATGCAAAACAAGTGACATTGGACCTTTTTAGAGAGATTTAGCAACAAAGAAAAAAACATTTGGGTGTATTTGCCGTTTCTCTGGAACCCATTGGTCGATTTTGGTGATTAACATCTCTTTTGAACCGTTAGAGCCAATAGAATCGAAGGGCAAGTTCCACATACACACACACACGTTACCATTGAGGAGTGAGAGTGACGCGCACGCAGTCGAAAGCTATGTTACGCTCTGAAAACTGAAAACAAGGCTCAAACTAGTAAATATGAAGATGGATTATGATCAGTAATCATTTCAAAGTGACACAGACACATTGGATTAACCATTGGATTAACCTTCAGCGGCGTTTTATATAGTTTTGATGCCATTGAACAGAACTTTTGATCAGAACAACAGCAAAGGTAAGACTGTTCGCGTGTTTGCTCCGTAAAGCTACGTTGTGTGTTGTCTGGTTTTGGTTCCCATGCTGCGAGTTCTGGTCGCTCAGTGATGCTACTTATATTTCTGGAATCTCAGTTTGCTAGCTGATGTCTTGTTTGTGCAGATCCGATAAGTGATGGAGTGTTTCTACCGTGAGTTCTGTGCTAAGTGCGTTAGCATTTTTTTCGCTCAGGGCTAATTCAGAGGCTCTGCATTAGACTTGTGTTTCGTTTGTCTAAAAATGGTTCATTTCGTCAGTTAGCTGAGTTTCTTCCCGTTAAGTGGATATGACACATTCATAGTTTGTTAAATGTTAAGAAGCCCTCAGACGTTGTTTCTTGCAAGATGTTGCGTTTTGCCCCCGCGGGTGGGGGCATGGGGCTTAACAGGACAAACTAATTTTAGAAATAATACCAGTCCCTGCTGAAAAAAACAGCTTAGACCAATTTAGCTGGTCAAGCTGGTCAATCAGCCTGACCAGCCAGTAGATATTAGGCTGGAATGGTTGGCTGGTTTAGCTGGTTTAGTTGGTGCACCAGCTAAACCAGCTAAACCAACCATCCTGGCCAGCTAAATATACCATGCTGGAAGCTTACTAGGATTCCAGGTGACCAGCATACATTATTTGAATACTGGTATGATTATTTAAACCAGAGAACACAAATATATTACAAAGATTCATTGTGTCATGTATTCTGGTATCTACCAAAATAAAGACATTGCAGGACTAGACATTATAAACAGCCCGCTGGCCCGGAAGCACTATTTAGAGAGGCAAAGTCCCTCCATTTCCGGTGGACCTCCATGGGACCTTACTTCGGAAAAATTATGTATTGAAGTCAATAGGCGCTTTCACACCAAGTACTTTGCCGTACTTAGTTCCCAGTACTTAGTTCATCAGAACTCTTTAGTTCTGTTGAACTAAAGAGCAGATCGCGTTCACACGACTCATAAGTCCCTGAGGGAGGATTAGGCAAATGAAGCCGCTGACGTCACTTCTTCTTCTTCTGCTTTGGGTTTACTGGCAGGCCGCAAACAACTTCACGGCGTATACTGCCACCCGAAGTCCCCGGCCGGAAGTCCCCGGAGTTGGGGACTGGCTTCCGAGTAAATCGCCAGAACGCCGACACCTCCTCATCTCCACCGCCCCCATATTTTTTTTTGTGTTGCCATAAGTTAGTCTCTCTCCCTTGGTGCGCTGGGATAATGCTAATAATGCTAATGCCAGCAAATAAAATGGCGGCTTCACAAAAAATGTCGGAGTTTTAGGGGCGTGGTTTGCAATTCGCCCAGCCAATCAGAAATTGGAACCTTCTCCTCCCCAGGAAAGTACCACCTCTCTAGCAGGGACTGAAAAGGGTTGAAAAGGTTCCCGAAAAAAAGTTCTAGTTCCAGATCTTTTTGGTGTGAACGCAAAATCCCAGGAACTATCGGAACTATTCCTACTGCAAAAGTGTGAAAGCGCCTCATGGCTCTTGATGACATCAATGTAGTCCCAATAGATGCTGTTGTATAAAAACAAAATGGAATAGGTCCAGATTTCTTCTATTTTGTGTTGGATGATACGTTTTATTGATTGCTGATGGATGTTAAGATGTGTTTTACAATTATAACAAAAACATTATTGTAATTGGAATCAAAAAGATTGCAAATCATAGTTTTAATAGAATCTCTAGCAATATAGGGTTTATTCAACAGCAGTAAAGCATTAAGTTGCTAAAGTAACGTACACTGAACTGTAAAACCACTATTCAGTGGGGCTGCAACAAACGACTAATTTGATAATCGATTAATGAAACGATTAATCGACTATTCGGATTATGTCTTGCACAATTTCTCAATGCTCTTATTTAGCCATCAACTTTTAGGTTTAGCTTGAGGTTGTTTTAGGCATGTGGAAACTGACAATGAAGACAATAAAGATGAATACTTGATTCAAATACACATATTTTCTTAAACTTTCTGCTGAAAGAAAAAATCTGTCCGTCAACATTTTAAACCAAGGATATCAGATCAGATAATAGATAACCTTTTTCGCATTGTCAATTAGGGATGGGTATCGTTAAGGTTTTAACGGTACTACCACTTTTATCGATACCGCTTATCGATCCGGTCCTTTAATGGTACTCTTATGGGTTATTTTGAAAAAAAAAGGTAAATTAACTAAACTAACATTGCTTTTTATTTGAAATTGTGTAGTGTTGCTTACCTCCAGAAGGACTTTTAGCACGTTTCCCAGTAGACAGAGCTGTCAGAGCGGTTCCTCTCAGAAGAGCAGCCGCTGGGCGGAGTCACAGAAACACTCAACTGATCTTCACTCCCCGACCGTTAGCTGGCCAGGCTGGTCTTGAACCAGCAAGACCAGCCTGGTAAACCAACTAAACCAGCCTAACACCAGCTAACACCAGCTAAAACCAGCAACCATCTTAAGCTGGTCTATGCTGGTTTTTTCAGCAGCCATACCATGCCCATGGTTAAAATGAACAAAACAATGTACACTGAAATACACCTTTTACCATTTAGTGCTAAGGGCCCACTGTGCGGCAATAAATAAGATGCACAAGTTATTTATTGGATATGTTATATTACTGATGCGGTACATAAACAAATCTGTAATGATGTGAATGGAGAGGAGGTTATCAGCTGATTCATTCAGTGTGTGAGTCATTAATAAACAACTGAGGTGAGTCAGAAAGTTGGTTTGTCATTAACTGGATTTAATTAGGTGATGTCTTAGGAATGTCTCTGAAGTCACAGACGCAGGTGGTGAGGGACACATGTTTCCATCTGTTTACTTATCCGGCAATCATTTCCAAAGACATGCATCAGCACTTGATATGTGTGCAGAGTGGAAAGGAGGGTAATGGTTGGCGGGAGTTCAGTCATATTGCTATTGACAAACTGAAGTGATTGACGCATCTCTGTCTCATGGGGAGAAGAGCTCAATGTCAGTTGTTCAACCTGGCTGCAACATTTTGAGAAATAAATTATTTACAGCAAAAATCAATTATTTACAGCAATGCTTTTTTCCCCTCTGACCTTCAACATACTGGTCACCGCAGGCCCTAGAAATAATTCTCAAAACAACATTTTTTAAAGTGCTGCAGCCAGGCGTTATGTGCTATCAGAGCTAACAAAAAACTTACGCATGTGGCAGTGTTGAACAATGATCGTTTTCCTCTTTTAAAAAAACTGCTAATTTAATTATTACTACTCACAGAATACTTAGATATTAGATTGTTAAAAGGCAATTTTCTTTAGGAGGGGAAAAGGTGAATGACATTGACATTCAGCATTGTTTATCTTATAGAATATATTGCGAGACGATTCGAAAGCCTTGCAGAGAAAAGCGTTCAGTTCTCAAGGATGCATGAAGTGAAGAGATTGAATTAATCACACGCCTCTTGGTATTTTAGAACAGACTTCAGGGATAATGGTAAACACAGATGACCGTGGCTATAATAACAAAGTAAGAAGATTCAGGCTTAGAAATGTAACAAATGCAGATGCTTCCAAGAAGGGTAGTCCCCAAACTGTTTTATAATAATGATATAATAATTTCTGTGATCTGACTTTTAGCACTGAACTGTTTTCTTCCTAGTGGTGCTGTGTCTGCTGTGGTGGCCACATGTGACCTTGAAGAGTGTTTCAGATGGGTCTGCAGTATGTGCCTAAGTTTGTGCATTCTTGTGATCCATATGGGATTATCATAACAGCACACCAGGGTCTTGTGTAACCGGTCATGTTCAGTAAATGGTGGATGGTTAAAAGTCAAATGACGGTCACTCTGTGGGAGTGTATGAACTCTCAGGAAACAGTCACATAGACAAGAACACACACAAGGATGTTTCTTTTATCCCACAGCATACAATGTTTTAATTTGATTGTGTATCTCCTCTAGGCTCGCCCTGCTCTGGGGTTTAACTGCTGAGCATGCTGGGAAAAGCTCCGCCTACAACCAGTAGCCTCAACCTGGTCACCTCTGAGGTGTCTGACGTCACATCGGACCCCGACGCTCACGACGGAATCACCATGGCCGACCTGGTGGAGAGCCTGGACACCAGAGAGCTGGACATGGGGGAGGGAGAGGAGATCGAGTATGATGGAGGCTACTTGGGTGTGTTTGTGTTTACATAATGTTCTGTCTGTGTCATTGCACCATCATTTCTCAGAAAACTAAGATGATACATACGGAAATATAGCAATAACAAAGACTCAGTTATCTTAGTAAAACAGCTCAGATTTTGAGATGATTCATTATCCTCAAGAGATTCACTTCCAGGAAATTGAATTTGTCAGACTCTTAACCAGATTAATTTAGCATGAGCTATATTTATATGACCATATGCGCCAAAACAATAAGTGTGTGACTTGAATAGGGATGTACCCAGGGAAATGTAAGAAAACTGAGAGGAAGACAAGCCAACTGAGGGAAAGTGCACTCGCATTGTGAGTGGATTTATCCTTTACATAATTTAGACCATACAAACTTTACCAGAGAGAAGCAGAAACATTTGACCCAACACTGCAAAGTAAAAATCTTGAACAAAAGCCGAGTTTTCAGTAATGCAGCCTACTCGCTCCGAAGCAGCCCGAACAACTCCTACATGCGGGAACACGGAAAAAAACACGCTAACCACCCGCCTCTCTCCTCCTCCTAGGGGACTGTCGTATCCCATTTTCAGCGGTGTATGCCACAGTGGGCTTCAAGGAGGCCAACGCCAAGGTCTACCTTCCCACTGTGCCCATCACCGCCCGGATACTGGAGGTGGAGAGATTCACCGCCGCACAGGACCGCTTCAACCTGTCGCACCAGAGGAGTGTCAACAAGGTACTGCACACAGTCTGTATAGCAACATTTAGCAGAGATTCAAACATTACTGTCTTTCTTTTTACGTTTTAAAATACTTTATGTTGGAAAATATTGGTATTGATTGATTACATTAGATTACATTTAGCTGACGCTTTTATCTAAAGGGACTTACAATAACTGCAATAAATCATAGATACAAATTCAAAACAACAAGAAACATTTGCATCAAATAAGCCAAACCATTGAAAGTACTGTAAGTGGTTTAAAGGTCCCATGTCATGCTTTTCCGGTTATTACCCGTCCCCTTGTGTTATGTAGCTTTTTCTGCGTGTAAACGGTCTGCAGAGTCACAAACCCTCAAAGTACACCCTGTAGCGAGTAAAACTCTAACACAGAAAATACCTGTCTGTGCTGCCCCAGAACGCCTCGTTGGAGATTTTTCTTTTTCCATTTTTTCTTCCGGGAACCAAGTGATGTAACGGCCAGTCTGCGGGTGTGTGTGTGCTCCGGCTCCGCCGTGTCCCGCCATCCCGCAGCAACCAGGAAACCACACCAGCAAGCCAGCTCACACTGTCCGCTCCAGCAGCGAGCCCCGCAACGTCCCGCCAACACGGCGCCCAGACCCCACGCAACATTCTCATCTGTTTGTCATTACTGGTGTCATTTTCTGGTTGCTATCAAATGCCATTGTAAAACATAATCACTGATGTTCCGCTGTAAAGGTGGTGGACTCATCAGAACAGAGTGGGCGAGCTGACCAATCAGAGCACACTAGGCTCAACCTCAACAATGGAATTATGATCAGTAGAAATGGCCATGACATGGGACCTTTAAATGAGCTATAACAAGCTTTAAAGGTCCCATGTCATGGCCATTTCTGCTGATCATAATTCCATTGTTGAGGTATACTAGAATAGATGTATACTGTGCAATTTTCCAAACTCACATTGGTCCAAACTCACATTGGTTTCTCATAGAGCATCTCTGTATAGCATGTGTATTCACTCTCTGTCCTAAACGGCTTGTTGGAGCCCCCCCCCCCACCCCCCGTGAGCCCAGTGTGCTCTGATTGGTCGCGAAGCTGAGAGGCTCACAGCTGTGGGAGCTGCTGCAGGAGCAGAAAGGCTTTCCGTGTCAGTGTCTCGGCGATACAGGAGAACAAGCGAAACTCATCCTGAGCACACACAAACACTCACAGCCGAAGTAAAAACAATAAGTGTGGCTTGATATTGAGTAAGAAAAAGGTTTATAACGCTGTGAGAATGGGTCTGCGGAGAGCATTTCTCCGCGATCCCAACTTAGCAGCCCGAAAAACGTTTACCCATTTAAGCAGTCGTGGTAGATACCTTGTTTGTTTTAAACATCATAAATACACAAACAACAATGAATACTTAATAATTAACTACTTAATAATAGGTTGTGTACCCGAATCTCCCGCTGGTCCAAACAAAGTAGGAACAGCATCGTTCTTCAGTGCCCTACGCTGTACATATCCGGCATGAATCGCTGAAAGGTGTGGGAAGCTTTGTTGATATCAGTCAACAGACTTGCGGTCAGAGCTGTGGTTTCATGGAGCTGCTATGTGAAAACTAAAACATGCCCCATGATTAACTGTGAGGAGGACAAGACTTTACAGCACCTCCTCATAGACTGCTACAGAGCCCAGGAGGTGTGGTCGCTCCTACGGGGCATCGGGTTAGACTTCAATGTAGAATATATCTCAATCATGTATTGTAGTCTGGATGAGGGGATGGACAATAAACACAGGGACCTTTTTCAGCTGGTAATTTGTATCACATGTATGAAGATCTGGAAAACAAGGTGCAAAATGGTACTAAATCAGACGATCATAAACAGTGGCACCATCGTGAAACAAATACTTACTGAACTAAGGAGAAGAAAAACCCTGGACAAATCCCAGACTCAGCCATGGGACATTTTGAGTCTGTGACCGAACTGAGTCTCATTGGAATATAAACGTGCTCTCTTTATGTTATTTATATATTTATTCATTGTGTTTTATGTGTATTATTAATGTAACTTGTGTATACAGGTACTGTACTGCCCAAATAATATAAAATAAAGTTTTCTAAAAAAAAAAGGAAGCTTTGTTTCTGAAAGGCTGGCAGAGGGTGCGGCCATAGCTCTGGGCGTGGCTACTGGGTATCCCTAGTAGCGATACTCAGGAAGAAAGCATTGGAAAATGAGAAATCTCCAACGAGGCGTTTTGGGGAGGTATTTTCTGTGTTAGAGTTTTACTCCCTACAGGGTGTACTTTGAGGATTTTTTACTCTGCAGACCGTTTACATGCATAAAAACCTTCATAACACACAAAGGGACGGGTAATAACCGGAAAAGCACGACATGGGACCTTTAAGTAATACAAGTCTTTTTTTTGTGGATTAGGTTTAATTGTCAATGTGCAATGCATCTCTTAGATGTTGTTTCAAATAGTTACCAATTGCAAATGCTGCAACTCTACAAGTATTTTTGCCATTTTCTAAGACAACGCCAATCCTAATAATTGCACTGATGTATATTAAACTCATTGTGTCCCTCCCCAATGTGTGTGTGTAGTCCCTGCCGGCAGTGTTTAAGATCGAGCTGAAGCATGGTGAGTTTACCTGGGTGGTTAAGAGGAAGGAGAAACATTTCATGGAGCTGCACAAAGAGCTGCAGACGTACAAGACCCTCATGAGGATCCCGCTGCCGTCACGCAGGTCAGCGCCTACACACACACATTTACACTCCACAGAGTGTGTGAACACAAAAACACTCACGAGGAAAGACGTACAAATGCACACGTATTTGTCACATTGAGTTGACCAGTTGTGGGAAATGGAGCACAAACAAGCTGAGAATGATTCATATAGTTGTTACATTTAGGCAAACACACATGTTCAACTTCTTGCGAGTTAGATGAAAGTTCAATTTAGCTGTTGTCTTTATGCATTAATGTTGAATCTAGAACCAAGAGACAGTTAGCTTAGCTTAGCATTCTTTCACACACACATACGGGTATTGGGCCGAGGGTGACACCGTACTTCCGGTATCCGCCGTTTTACGCGAGGTGCAAGCAGGCCAAGGGTTTAGCCGTACACCGTCTAGGTGTTGCTAAGCTTCCTGTACTGAATATCATAGTCTATTGCCTTAATCAATATCTAGTCAACTCTAAAATACCACATATATGCAATGGCATGATAATATTATTGTGACAAGTGGGGTATTCACCTGGTGTTTCCAGAAATTAGACGTAGATGCAGCCAAAATCGACGAATGCCACTTTCGAGGGTCGTTTTTCCATACATCTGCAGGCAGTCTGTAACAACCCACACAGCTCTAGTTTACGCTGGTAACGACCTAGAGCACACCCCTCAAGTCCAGAGATGTAATCCGAAGACATGCAGCGATTTCTTCGGTCGTTAATTCAGAAAAAAAACCTAGTGCGCTCTGCCTGGCTACGTTAGCTAGCTGTTTATATTTGCACCTCCAGGAAAATGGCATATTTATATATATATATATATATATATATATATGGCGCGTGTTGCATTGTGGGTAGCTCGTGACGTCACTGTGTGTGAAAGAATACAAACTGGAAACAAAAGGGAACACCCAGTCTGGCTCTGTGCAAAGCTTCCAAATAATCTGCCAACACATTTGCTGTAAATTCCACTAAAGGTTAAATCTCTTTATTTTTGTTATATTAACAGGAGGTTTTGCTGTTATCCTCCTCCTGCTGGCATTGTGTGAATTCAGCAACAGTCGCCCTGCAATCAGAGCTGATTCCAAAACTTTTTTTTTTAGCTTGTTTTTGGTTCAAACAAAGAAGACACAATGTGTTCATTTGATAATATTTGGTGGTGGACATTTGTTTTATACTCTGGAGTTTGGACAGAGCATGCCTTTCATCAAACATCTTGAACAAAGATATACAGAATATATACATCCATTTATAAATCTGCTTTTTATAACCTTTGGATATTGGTGGACATTTCAACTATCATGTTTTCTTCTTTTTCCATTATTTTTCCCCTCCCTCCCTCCCTCCCTCCCTCCCTCCCTCTCTCTTTCTGCCTCTGGTGATGTACTCACAACACAACAAAGGAATGTTGCCCTTGGACTTTAATAGGATTTACTTGTGCCCTTCTCCCTGTATCTCTTTCTTTGTCTGTGATCTTGACTTGATGTTGTAATAGAAAGAGGAACATGGTGGATTATTTTTACAATTTCCTTTGGTGTATGTTCTTTTGCTTCTTAAATGATTCTCCCTGTTTTCAGTTACGTAGCATTTCACTGTTATGTGTTCCTTGTTGATGAGACACAACACTGAGCCAGTCTGCAACCTGTCAATGTATTCAAGCTTTTATATGTGCCTGTCTAAACTCCTGCTGGCAGCGAGATGAGGAAATTATGTTTTTAATTTAGGATCAGCCGCTGGAATGGTTTCTTTTGGCTTTAGGGAATGGTGGAACAGTTTCTCCTCAAACTTGAAGTGTAGACACACTGTGAGATTTAACATCTTCAGATAGCTTGTAGACTTTTGAAATAAGCCTCTTCATTTCCTCCCTTTGTCTCAGCCACACGGTGAGGAGAAGGACGGTGAGGAAGAGCGAGGTGAGGGAGATGCCGTCCCTGCCGAGGGGAGGGGGAGACGAGCTGGTGAGAGACGAGCAGGTCTCCAGCAGGAAGGTACGTCACGTCGGTGCCTGCAGCCATTTTCCCCGATATCCAGTGTGAAAATTCACTTTTGTAATACTTAACCTCATGGCAAGGAAGTGTGTGTGTGTGTGTGTGTGTGTGTGTGTGTGTGTGTGTGTGTGTGTGTGTGTGTGTGTGTGTGTGTGTGTGTGTGTGTGTGTGTGTGTGTGTGTGTGTGTGTGTGTGTGTGTGTGTGTGTGTGTGTGTGGTGTGTGTGTGTGTGTGTGTGTGTGTGTGTGTGTGTGTGTGTGTGTGTGTGTGTGTGTGTGTGTGTGTGTGTGTGTGTGTGTGTGTGTGTGTGTGTGTGTGTGTGTGTGTGTGTGTGTGTCATAAAAATACTCACAGTGGCCAATACATAGTATACTATATGTGTTCCTACAGAGACAATTAGAGGACTATTTGGACAAGCTGCTGAGGATGGCCATGTACCGCAAATATCACCATACTGTGAGTAATCATACTAAGCTCTGCCAGCTGTGACATTACCACTTCCTGCCTGAATTGCATTAGATATGCGCACATTTCAGCTAGTGTAGATACCTGAGATGCACTGTATAAGCAAATGTTGGCAACAGTATTTTTTGTTGCTCTTCCTTATGATGGAAAAGTGCGTGTTGTCATAGATGATTATTAGTTTATCCATAGCAACATGTCTGCTTTATGTTGACACAATCACATGTAAGTGTAGTATTGCTGCCAATTTAAGCTGGCAAAGTCTGTTTGATGCCCTGAAGAGGACTTTGTATACTGTGCAAAAAAAAGATATTTAAGATTTTCAATAAACTGTATTGCTTAAATATGTAATGATACAATACAGTAAAAAGTATCTTTATCATTGCATTTGGTATTTCTCACATTCACAAACACTTGCATAAATGTGTTGCATAATAGTGAGTGTCCTATTAATATCTTACATATTAACATATAGTGTGTTCTTGCTCATACTACATTTGACCTTACTCTGAATTATGTATGAGCTTTAAAACAAACTAATGCTAGGTTTCGCATGTTCTGACTTTAATAAACCGCATCATTTTGACACATTAAAAATTCATAAATGAGATGAGAACCCATTTTGAGATAATACTTTAAAAGCTGTCTGCTCAGAGTCACATGACGACATGTACAGTGCAGCATGTATCAGGTTTGTTTTCTTTCTTTGTTTTGTTTGTATATCCCAAGACTCACTGTGTGAAGCCTCTTGTTGTCTCTTCCTGTCTATTCTCAGATGGAGTTCATTGACATCAGCCAGATGTCTTTTATCCATGACTTGGGGCCCAAAGGACTGTGAGCATTTTCTCTTCTTTCAAATTCTTTCCCATCTGTACATTGTCCTGTCTCAGGTGGATAAGCATTGAACAGGGTCCTCTTCAAGGTTCAAGGTTCTTTATTGTCAAACTAACATAGCTACAGAGTAATTATTTCGTTGAAAAACGTTTTAAACTTCAAAGTCTTCTATTTTTTATTCAGACTCTACTTGCATGCCATTGTTTGCCAAGGCTTTCGGCCCCTAAATCGATCTGTTGTTCTGTTTGTCTGTCTTTTGTTTTGTTATGTTTGTCTTTGCACTATTACTTGTGAAGCGACCTTGGGTCCCCTGAAAGGCGCTATAGAAATCGAAGCTATTATTATTATTATTGTAATTGTTCCTGATCATACGTAACTTATTTTACTGTCTGTCCCAGGGAAGGGATGATCTATAAGCGATCAGGCGGACATCGTATCCCCGGGATGAACTGCTGCGGCCACAGCCAGGCCTGCTACCGCTGGTCCAAACGGTGTGTGTCTCTTTACTTATATTCCTGTTTTCCAATGTTTTCCGCTCGTTGTTATATCAGCCAAATTCACATCATGTGTATCGATGTTGTTGACTGGTTTATCTTCTTGTAATCAAGCAGATGCATTCAACTTTCTTAGCAGAAACTTGAAGTAATTTTTTTTTATCTTCTCAGTAGATAGGGGGGGGCACTGGGGGGCCAGTTATTTTCTGAGGGGGGCACAATAAATGCAGGACGAAAAAGAGAACTAGACAGTATGAAGTAATTGCGCATAAGAAAACAATGCAATACAGTTATTGGTATTTGTTTCAGTACACTTATTTATTTCAGATAGATCTTATAGTTATTACTGTTAGCTTCAGCTTAAGTTATAGTGCAATGTTTGCACTAACACCATATTTATATAAAAATAAAGGCAATGAACAGTTACATCTCTACTTTACATAAGGGTGTCTGCACAATCTCACATTACAGCAACAAAATCCACTGCCCCCCCCCCCCCCCCTAGAACCGCCCCTGCAGTAGCGAGTTTCTTCCTTTTTAGATGTTAGTCCTACAGTTGACAAAACAAAACACAACTTTTCTATTTTTAACTGTTAAACTTGTAGGTGTGATCGATGCTATTTACAAACTCAGTTTAGCATTTCAGACTCAAGATTGTTATCAGGAAGGTGTCAAAGTATGGGTGTTCAAACACAGTGACCACTTAATAAACATTATATTGGTAATATCTTTAAAAGTCATCTAATTTGTATTAGATATTTTATATTAATATTTTAATATAATATTTTATTGCTGACAAAATCTTAGTGCCATCTTCAGCCTGGTTGAATTTGCACGTGTTTGACTCTCTTCATCTGTTTTTCTGTTTGTATTTCTCTTCATCTCAGCCAAATTATTATGTGAGCAGTTCTATTGTTGTTTTCTAAAGAAAACACAGAAAAATCCCACACGTTTGAAACACTCTGCTCGTCTTCCTACATCTCCATGATGATTTTCTTCCTACACCTTTTCCTTACAACAAGAAATATAAGAAATCCTTCAAAGCAATGGATCAAGAGCTGGACAATACGTAATAACACTAATGTTTAATCCCAATGATGATAATGAGGACTGTGTGTTTTGTAGCTGGTTGGTGGTGAAGGACTCGTGTCTTCTATACATGAAGCCAGACTCGGGGGCCATCTCTTTCGTCCTGCTGTTGGATAAAGAGTTCTGCATCAAGACTGACTCCAAAGACACAGAGACCAAACATGGAGTCCGGGTGGACAGCCTCTCCAGGTTTGAATTTTGTTGCCGTTCCCAAGGGGTAGAATAGTTAAAGGTCACCTATTATGCAAAATCCACTTGTTCATGTCTCTTCTACATCAACATGTGTCCCCTCCGTGGAAAGAGATTCTGAAAGTTTCAGGAAACAAGATTCTCTCTCTTTTTGTCCTGATCCATTTATTTATTAACCTGTCTGAAAATGAGCTGATCGGATTTTGGCCACTTTATGATGTCATAACGTTTTTTTTGGCTTGTGTAACCATTAGCCAATCAGCAACCAAGGTAACCCCCCCCCCCCCCCCCCCCCACACACACACTTATCACCTGCATCTCCTCCTAGAGCACCATTGTGTTCTTTGTAACCAAATCTCTCTCAGAGGGGCGTGGGGAGGGGCTCCTTATTTTCATCTGAAGTAACAGACAGAGAATCAGCACTTTGGAAACAGGGCTGAAACAGAGGGGATTATGGGTAATGCTGTAATGATCTGTTTGGTGTTTGGAGCCAAACACTGCAGAGACATGTTTTGTATATGTCTGAGAACTATAATATAATGATGAAAAACAGTATACTAGGGGACCTTTAGGACTCAAAGTGAATTATGAGACTGGTTTTTGAAAAAGAAAGTCCTCCCTTCAATCAATGTGTGGTGTTAAAATGTATTCCAAACAGTCATGTATCCTACGGTAAAATAAATACTCTTCCGACAGTCCAGAGATTGGTGTAGGTGGGGTGCAGCATTTTTAAAGAATGGATATTAAGAGTCTTATTGCATTTTGTTGCTGATTTCACAATGCTGCATGACAACCACATAGTTACAATACTAGGTCATTCTAGATTGCTAAAAGGTTGTTAGCACTTCATAACTGAACCAGTGTTCCAAGAAATTAATGAAAAATCACCAAGAGGTTTATAAATCACAGCTTTAATCTGCTGTCAACAGTCTGCTGTAACAGAGTGGGTTCTTTGAGCTCCTTTTCATTCCAACACTCCTAATCCAGGGCTTATTTTGTTTTTGGAGTGATTACTGATGTTATCTCATCACAGAAAAACACAATGACTGCTTTAAGAATCAGCAGTGTGTTTAAACCAAGAAAAAAATGAAACTAGGAAACTGTTTTGCCAAATGTTTTGTCCGGAGTACAAATTAAATAACTACACGTCTGACTGAACGCATGCATGTGCTTCATTGTGTCTGTGTTTGTTCCTGTGCACATCCTCCTGGCAGGACCTTGGTGTTTAAGTGCAGCAGCTACAGACATGCAAGCTGGTGGGGTCAGAGCATCGATAGCTTCGTGAAGAATCATGGGAAGGCTTTCCTCAGAGACCACCGCTGCGGGTCTTTTGCACAGGAACAGGAAAACATCGCTGCCAAATGGTAACTACACTGAGAGAGAGCTCAGCTGGTTGAACATGTGGACAGACTTACAAAAATACCAACAAACAAAAACAATGTACATTAGATGCGAAATCCCCATTTGTTTTGTTTTTACAATCCTGTGTAGCATCCTACATTTTAAAAAATTGATACGATAATATACCATTTCAAAGATTGTTTGTAGATGTGATCATGTTCTCTAAAAACAAGCTGCATAGTGAAATGCATACAACTTAAAATACACACATTTTTTCAATGCCTTCCTCTCTTATCCTTTCACTGGTAACTATGGAAATCTATTAGAAAAATAAGAATTCAGGTCTTTTTTTGCCTTTTCTCCCCCTCAACTGGCAGATCCTGTGATATTGAATCATCTGTGCGATAATGTCCTTACGTAGTCTTTGTACTCAGCACAGAGCCTGAGAGAAAAACATACTGCGGGCCTGTGAGCTAATGGGAAAAAAAATTGTTTAAAGAGCACTTATGTCGTGATGAGACAAGTTGTGGGTGTTGCCTTGAGCTTGAAAGGTTAACAAAAATAGGGAAATGTGTGCATGTGTGGGTGTGTACTATCAACACAAGCGCCCGTGACAGTGAAATCAGTTTTTACTCTCATTTATGTCTTTATTTAAAGGTATGTGAATGGAAAGAATTACATGGAGGATGTGGCTGATGCTTTGGAAGAGGCTAAAGAGGAAATCTTCATCACTGACTGGTGGTGAGTTTCAGTAATTATTTGTGTGAACAAGAATGATGTCAAAGAATTTGGTTAAAATATGTCTGCTGACAGGTCTGAAGTGTGAACAGTGTGAGAGCACAGATATAAACAGCTCAGTGTTATCCGTCCTGCTTCAACACTGCACAATTCAGTGCAGCCTCTGCACACTAAAACACTGTCAAAGTCACTGTCACTAAAACTATTTTTTATTACATACTTGTTAGTGAAAGGCAATTTCCTTCAATCAACCCTGTTTTGCAAAAATGACAATTAATTATGGCAGATGCTATTTGTACCCAGGTCTCCATAGTCAACAATGCTATTTGTACCCAGGTGTCTATAGTCAACAATGCTATTTGTACCCAGGTGTCTATAGTCAACAATGCTATTTGTACCCGGGTGTCTGTCTATAGTCAACAATGCTATTTGTACCCGGGTGTCTATAGCCAACAATGCTATTTGTACCCGGGTGTCTGTCTATAGTCAACAATGCTATTTGTACCCGGGTGTCTATAGCCAACAATGCTATTTGCACCCGGGTCTCCATAGTCAACAATGCTATTTGTACCCAGGTGTCTATAGTCAACAATGCTATTTGTACCCGGGTGTCTGTCTATAGTCAACAATGCTATTTGTACCCGGGTGTCTATAGCCAACAATGCTATTTGCACCCGGGTCTCCATAGTCAACAATGCTATTTGTACCCGGGTGTCTATAGCCAACAATGCTATTTGTACCCGGGTGTCTGTCTATAGCCAACAATGCTATTTGTACCTGGGTGTCTATAGTCAACAATGCTATTTGCACCTAGGTGTCTATAGTCAACAATGCTATTTGCACCCGGGTCTCCATAGTCAACAATGCTATTTGTACCCGGGTGTCTATAGCCAACAATGCTATTTGCACCCGGGTCTCCATAGTCAACAATGCTATTTGTACCCGGGTCTCCATAGTCAACAATGCTATTTGTACCCAGGTGTCTATAGTCAACAATGCTATTTGTACCCAGGTGTCTATAGTGAACAATGCTATTTGTACCCAGGTGTCCATAGTCAACAATGCTATTTGTACCTGGGTGTCTATAGTCAACAATGCTATTTGTACCCCGGTGTCTATAGTCAACAATGCTATTTGTACCTGGGTGTCTATAGCCAACAATGCTATTTGCACCCGGGTCTCCATAGTCAACAATGCTATTTGTACCCAGGTGTCTATAGTGAACAATGCTATTTGTACCCAGGTGTCCATAGTCAACAATGCTATTTGTACCTGGGTGTCTATAGTCAACAATGCTATTTGTACCCCGGTGTCTATAGTCAACAATGCTATTTGTACCCAGGTGTTTATAATCAACAATGCTATTTGTACCCGTGTCTCCATAGTCAACAATGCTATTTGTACCCGTGTCTCCATAGTCAACAATGCTATTTGCACCCGGGTCTCCATAGTCAACAATGCTATTTGCACCCGGGTCTCCATAGTCAACAATGCTATTTGTACCCAGGTGTCTATAGTCAACAATGCTATTTGTACCTGGGTGTCTATAGCCAACAATGCTATTTGCACCCGGGTCTCCATAGTCAACAATGCTATTTGTACCCAGGTGTCTATAGTGAACAATGCTATTTGTACCCAGGTGTCCATAGTCAACAATGCTATTTGTACCTGGGTGTCTATAGTCAACAATGCTATTTGTACCCAGGTGTCTATCGTCAACAATGCTATTTGTACCCGTGTCTCCATAGTCAACAATGCTATTTGTACCCGTGTCTCCATAGTCAACAATGCTATTTGCACCCGGGTCTCCATAGTCAACAATGCTATTTGCACCCGGGTCTCCATAGTCAACAATGCTATTTGCACCCGGGTCTCCATAGTCAACAATGCTATTTGTACCCAGGTGTCTATAGTGAACAATGCTATTTGTACCCAGGTGTCCATAGTCAACAATGCTATTTGTACCTGGGTGTCTATAGTCAACAATGCTATTTGTACCCAGGTGTCTATCGTCAACAATGCTATTTGTACCCGTGTCTCCATAGTCAACAATGCTATTTGTACCCGTGTCTCCATAGTCAACAATGCTATTTGCACCCGGGTCTCCATAGTCAACAATGCTATTTGCACCCGGGTCTCCATAGTCAACAATGCTATTTGTACCCAGGTGTCTATAGTCAACAATGCTATTTGCACCCGGGTCTCCATAGTCAACAATGCTATTTGCACCCGGGTCTCTATAGTCAACAATGCTATTTGTACCCAGGTGTCTATAGTCAACAATGATATTTGTACCTGAGTGTCTATAGTCAACAATGCTATTTGTACCCAGGTGTCTATAGTCAACAATACTATTTGTACCCAGGTGTCTATAGTCAACAATGCTATTTGTACCCAGGTGTATCATAATCTAGCTTTTAATAAATGAAGAATAGTTATACTGGCCTATTTTATTAGTTTGGTAAACACACATAGACATGCTCTAAAGAACGAGTTGACACTTTGACACCCTGTAAATGTAGTACATACTGTTACACATTACATTATGCATAACCCACAAGTCCTGGCTGTCTTGAAGGCGATGCAATGGTACTGGCTCTAATTACAGCCTCTTCCACACACACAGAATAGAAATACACTGACACAAATATAGTTTCCATAAAGTGTTTGTTTACTCTCTTCGTCTTTCACTATCTCGTCTTGATTTACTGTCAAGGTGATGTTTCTCACACATCAAGTGGTTATAGGACCTGTCAGAGGGCCTGTAAAGTATATTTATGCCACTCTGAACTGTGAATATATGTTTGCATGTTATGTAATCAGTGTTGAAATTCAGAAACACTAGTTAAAACAAAGAGAAACCCTAATTTGTCTCATGTGAAAAACTTGTTAGATGACAGTTACACCTGGGGGGATATTATCATTTGCAAACACTGTTAGATGCATATCTAATCTAATATTAATAACCAGATAAACTGTTTTGCATATTACATGGGCCGTTGTTTAACTCTTCCTTTAATAGTGTTTTAATGGTGTTTTTGTAATAAGAAATAACCAATGTATTTGTCTCCACTGACACAGTTATGGTTTTACTGACACAGGGGGTCCGTGGGGTCTTAAAATATTAAAAGTTGATAAATAAATTTAGCGAAAATTAAGGCTATTAAAAAGTATTAAACGGCATTTTCCAAGGTATTAAATGTTGTAGCTTGTTTTCAATAAGTATATAAATTGTCCAAAGAGGTTGTATTCTACAGTCTGCCTGAATGTAATCATTGCGTAGGTGTGTAGTGTGATTCTGTGTAGTTTATTTATGGCATCCCGTTGGATTTGACGTCATCAGAACAGGACATTGCACGCTCACTGCTTGATAGCGCAAAGGTCCGTTTACGCCGGTTGTTAAACAACATCGTTATGGGGAAATGCAAGTCTGCGTCCAAATGGTTGGAAGATAAGGAGGAAGGACAATCAATACTGTATGTAGTAAATGTGAGGTAAAGTGTGTCGCCAATGTAACCGGTTAAAACTCGAAGTGGCGATGAGGTCTTAAAATGTATGGAAAGGGTCTTGAAAAAGGTCTTAAAAGGTATTACATTTGACTTCAGGATTCCTGCATATACCCTGTGACAGTGTATCTTCAAATCTAACAGTTTATGATCCCTCTTTGACGTGGCTGACATCCCTGTGTGCCAAGGCCGGTGTCACTGGGCTTATGGTCTTAACCAATGAGGTGTCACCCTGTGAAATGTGATCCAATGGTGTTGTAGACATGTCGGCTCAGGATGCCAACGTTAATGACTCGTGAAAATATATCATTATGTCATGTCTGTCATATCTTAAGTGTGTGAAATGCGTTGGTAGTTTTGAAATAGTGAATATAAACATCTATTTGTTTCCATCGTTTAATGTTCTAACCAGTGATGGTGATGCATTTGAAAAATTGTTATTTAATCTGTGTTTTATATCTCTCTTTTTTCCTAGGCTGAGTCCAGAGATCTTTCTGAAGAGACCTGTAGTGGAGGGCAACAGGTGGAGGCTTGACTGTACCCTCAAACGCAAAGCAGTAAGTAGGTCTACGTCATGACAGAGTAATGACCCACAGGCCAAGTATTATTTATTTATTTAATTTATTTATTCATTTATTTAACAGGGACAGTGCACATTAATGAACATTTCTGTAAACGTGCCAGAGTTAGCCAAGAGGCTATATTTATTAAAGGGGATCTATCATGCAAAATGCACTTTTTGATTTCTTTTACACATAAATATGTGTCCCCGGTGTGTCGGGGAATTCACAAAGTGTCAGAAGACAAAACCCTCTCTCTTTTCCTTCGTACCTAAATCTCTAAAAAAAACGGAGCTGATCCAGATTTGTCTCCGATATGACGTAATATCGGAAATGTGGACCCAGGCCCTATCAGAAACGTTGCTATCAGAAACAATGCCTGAAGTGTTTTGGACGTAATATGGTCTTTGTTTACATTGGCAAGCATCGCTAACACTCAGAGCTAACCTGTACTGGAGAGAGTATGTGTAAAAAAGCAGGAAATAAAAAAAGGAACTCACCGTGTTGTGGTAAACCCGCAAGAGAAAAATCATTTGAGCTCCATACTGGCCGTTTCTCAATCTCGAGGATACTGGCTTCCAAGCCAATATTTCAAGGATGCTACGTCATCGAGTGCCGCCGAAGGACTGTTCCAATCTCCAGCATACTTGGAATTCCACCGAGGCCGCGTCCTTGGTTTTGGGGAAATGTCGAGGCTGCACATGGGTAGACTTCGCGTCCTTAAAATCCCCACAATGCTTTGCGCACGGACCAATTTCAAAAATCCTTGCGGAGAATGGCTGAACCGACGCAGCACACATTTAAATGTAAGTATGTAGTGGCGTAGAACATGTGTTGGGAAATATGTTACTTTCTTAAATTTGTTATCACCAAAAAAGTGTTCCGTGAAAGTAAAGCAAGTTCATAATTAGATAGACATCGTGAGGTATTTATTTTCGGTACAGTTTATGTTGAAACCGTTAGAGAGAGTGGCACACTTGTTAGCCTGTTCCATTCTTCTTCGTTTTCCAAAGCCGTGGCTTGGAAGCATACTTGCTTTGTTTCGTAAGGAAGTGACTTGGAAGTACGCGACTACCAAGCCAGCATCCTCGCGATTGAGAAACGGCCACTGTTTCAGAAATAATCCTTGATGTGGTTTGGAACATGATATGGGGTTTAATCACGGCAGCATTTAGCTGAGTATCTCGTAGAATTCTGAGCAGGCACAAGCTCCCACTCTTTTTCTTTCAAGCTAAGGACCCAAAATCCACGTTTCTCTAACAGGGCTAGACCCATAATGTATGCCTAATAGGAGACCTTTAATAACTACATTATCATAAAACATTAGGATTACATTAGATACATAACATGGTGTATTCACTTGCTCCTTGGATGGTGCCATTTCACAACTTCTTCTGACTGTGCTGTGTTCATGGGTTTTAGGCAGTGAACAACATGGATGCTACAAAGAAGATGTGCTGTATTTATCACTCAAAGTGTTTATGCAGCACATTGATGGCTGTGTTGTGAATTTTTCATGTGAATTTTCCCGAATGCGAGATTATTTTTATGGCGACAGAACATGAACGTAGCACAAATGCCCTATCAAAAGTTATTAATGTCTCCGCCCCGTGATTGGGACCTGCTGCCATGCTACGCCCTTCCAACATGTTTCAACAAAATCCATGAAGCAATATTTCTGTAATCTTTGAGACAAATGTGTCAAATGGAAATAAAAACAAGTTCTTAACACTGTTTTCCTTTTTGTTTCTACAGCAACAGGGAGTGCGCATCTTTGTGATGTTGTATAAAGAGGTGGAGCTCGCCCTGGGCATCAACTCGGGCTACAGCAAGAGGACGCTCATGCACCTGCACCCCAACATCAAGGTAACTGAAGGATTATGGGTAGTTAAGGATGATGCAGTTAAAACAAGTTAATACACATTTGTTTCAACTTTGTGTGTGAATTCATTTGAGCTGTATTTCCCATGTTTTTGTCTTAGGTGATGCGTCATCCAGATCACGTCTCGTCCTCCGTCTATCTGTGGGCGCATCACGAGAAGATCGTTATCATTGACCAATCAGTGGCCTTCGTGGGCGGGATCGACCTGGCATATGGTCGCTGGGACGACAGAGAGCACCGGCTGACAGATGTCGGCAGCGTGACGCGATCTGTGGCGCTTGAGCAGGTTGAACACACAACTTTACACAACTAATTACATATCTACAGTCTGGAGGTATAGGCAATCAATGGTTAAAATATGAGAAGGAAGAGAGAGGAAGAAATTGAGAATTGCCCTCAAACTCACACAGTTGCACAGGGGTGGTGAAGAGGTTGCGTTGCATGTAACTCGTTGGTTTTGTATGTGCAAGCTATGAAAAGGTCTACAGGCACACACACATTGTCATATAAAACCACGCACATTGTCATTTATATAAAGGAAGACTATTTATTAGGTAATATAATTCAACAACACCACCATCTAGGGATGCAAGAAGAAATGGGCACCAGATCTGTATTGTAAAATGAGGCTTAAAACTAGATATCGACATACGACAGACATTTTGAAATGTTTTATTTAACCTATATTAAAGTTCCCCTATTATACTGTTTTTCATCAATATATCACAGGTCTTAGATATATACAAAACATGTCCCTGAAGTGTTTGGCTCCAAACACCAAACAGATCATTGCAGCATTACCCATAATCCCCTCTGTTTCAGCCCTGTTTCCAAAGTGCTGATTCTCTGTCTGTGACTTTAGATGAAAATAAGGAGCCCCTCCCCACGCCCCTCTGAGAGAGATTTGGTTTCAAAGAACTCACTGGTGCTCTAGGAGGAGATTCAGGTGATAAGATGGGGGGGGGGGTTTCCTTGGTTGGTGATTGGCTAATGGTCACACAAGCCAAAACATCGTAATGACATCATAAAGTGGCCAAAATCTGATCAGCTCATTTTCAGACAGGTTTTTATAGAAATGGATCAGGACAAAAAGAGAGGGGGTCTTTTTTCCAGAAACTCTCAGAATCTCTTTACACAGAGGGGACACATGTTGATGTAGAAAAGACATGAAAAAAGTGGATTTTGCACAATAGGTGACCTTTAAGAAATCTAAATGGTGGCAATATGGTGTGTTTTCACTTATATCAGTTATGGGCGTTTAATCAATTATCCAATCCCATAACTGAGTGGACTTTCAATGTTTTCTTCTTGCACCCAGGCTGGCTCCACCACCACTCCGTCCAAAAAGGGCGTGTCCTTCGTGGACGTCTCCAACTTCAACGGACGAGGCACACCGCCCAGCGACCCGGTGGACCTGCCGAAGCTGAAGGGGATCGGACGCAGCAGGAAGGCTCGCTTCAGTCTGTACAAACACCTGCACAAACACACACTGCAGCACGCAGACAGTGTGAGCAGCGTGGACAGCACCGGTGTGTGAGCATGAGAAGACACACAGAAAACATGAATCATTATGTTATGTGTTGTTGAATGAAAGGGACATTGTGTAAAGGATATAAAGGTGCTATATACAGTAAATGTAGGCCTATTACCATAATGTTTTCATTTTTTTTGGGTGTGTAGGGAGTGGCTCGGTGAAAAGCCTAAAGACTGGCGTTGGAGAGTTACAGGGCAGCACGCGCTTCTGGCATGGAAAAGACTACTGCAACTTCGTCTACAGGGACTGGATCCAGTTAGAGAAACCTTTTGATGGTCTGTTTCACACACACACACACACACACACACACACACACACACACACACACACACACATGAAAAACGCTAGCATACACTATAGTTAGGGCTTACTTTACATAATTGTACCCCTTCCCGCTGCCTCCGCTCATCAGAAGCCAACCTCCTATCCATCCCCACCCACATCAATCACCGGACCTGGGGGGACAGAGCCTTCTCCGTCGCTGCCCCCTCCCTCTGGAACTCACTCCCCCAACCCATCAGAGACTGCACTGACCTCACCACCTTCAAAAAACTCACCTCTTCAATCTGGCTTTTAATGTGTGATTGTTTTTGTATTATTTGACTTTAACTATATATTTATTTGCTATTCCTTTCTTTTCTTTTCACTATTAAAGCGTCTTTGAGCACCTGTAAAAGCGCTAACAAAATAAATCTATTATTATTATAATTGCTAAATCTAAAACTAATTTTTCATTCCCAATGCCCACCTTCATTTTAATCTTAGTCTTATTATTTTTCCTGTTTGACCTTTAGATTCAAGATTCAAGGCTTTTATTGTCATTCGTACAGAGCTGCAGTTTAGTTATGTCGATGAAAATCTTAGGTCACAGGCTCCTCCAACAGTGCAACACAATAAAACAGATAAAAGAGTGCAAGTTAATACAATAAAATAGAATAGAAGTAGTGCCATAAGAGTCTATATACAAGTGATACATCATTTGTATATTACGGTCTTATGGCCTGTGCAATAAAACTGTCCCTGAGTCTAGTGGACATGTAATGGAAACACATAGTGATTAGGAGAACTGACTACCGTAAAACACTGTTATTTCTTTCTGAGCATTTTTCTCCCATGTATCCCTCCATTTTATTCTACTATACGGTATCTTTGTATGTCCTTTATCTGTCTCACACACGTGTTTCTGCCTTCGCTCTCTGCAGACTTCATCGACAGGTACACCACTCCCAGAATGCCCTGGCATGACATCGCCTCGGTGGTTCACGGTAGAGCCGCGCGGGATGTGGCCAGGCACTTTATTCAGCGCTGGAACTTCACAAAGGTACCGAAACACACACACACACACACACACACACACACACACACACACACACACACACACACACACACTGGAGTTTCTTTGATTCTTTCTAAATCACCTTTAAGGACGGCTAGCCTTTTACCTTGAATGCCTGATTTGAATATTTCTAATGCTAATTGTAGCCATAAACATAGCATTTCGGAGCCAACTAGTGTATTTAACTGGGGGAAATCATGTTTGGATGACTCAAAACACATATACACTGACCTGGTGAACGCTTAGGAAACTGTCTGGCTGGGTGAGTGGAAGAAACACTTTAATCCTCACTCTCACACTTCTGCCTTTCCATTGCTTCATGTTTTCCCTCCTGTTCTCCTCTGTTTACTCGTTTCCATTCCTCCTCTTAACCCTTCCTCTGCCCATGTTCTCCAACTGTCTGCCCTACAGATCATGAAGCCAAAGTATCGCTCTCTGTCTTATCCGTTCCTGCTGCCCAAGTCTCACTCCACCGCCAACGACCTCCGATACCAAGTCCCTGGCTGCGTCAACGTCAAAGCGCAGGTAGGAGAACTGAACACACCAAGCGCCATTTTGACCTTTAACTGCACTCATAAAACACATGTTGTGGAAAGTGGGTTTTTTCCCTTCTTTATAATTATACAAAATTATAAGGTGAAGCAAAACCCACCCCAACTTTGAGCCAACCACTACTAGAAAATTACAGAGAAAAGCAAGAAGAGTTTAAACTCCCACTTTCCATCAGTTCTTTCCACAAACCAGCCTGCAAGCTCTGCTGGAGAACGATCAAAGTGAGTGAGTGTTAAAAAACTCTCCATGGGCCAAAAAGTTATATAACTACAAAGGTTTGCTCATGTGATACCCAGAGGTTTTTAGCCGAAAGGAACCGACCTTTGAGTGAAACGCTTGTCTAAAATAAGAAGCGCACAAGAACCCATTTCAACTCCATCATGTTTGGTTTTATCAGAAAATGTTCTTTTGTGTCGTTTTATAAATGTTTGTGTGTTTCATTCAAACTGTGTGACACCTTCTCACATTACAACTTCTCCATTTGTATTTACTATAGCCAGTGATAACACACACCAATTTTATAAATACCTCTTAATCATTTTGTAATATATATATTTGTTTTAATTATTAGATTTGTCGTAAAGTGAATTTCCTTACAGGACATATTTTTCACTTTTAATATGTTTGCCATGATTAGAGTTACAATTTAAAGAGGAGAAAATATTAAACAAATAGTTTTTTATACTGGTGTTTGTTATAACCTGACACTTTATGATATAATAATATATAGCTATATAATTTGATTGCTTAAATTTATTATTGTGATGCTTTGAACTATTTATAGTGTCAATTGGAATGATCCACATCTGTGCTCCCGGGTGTATCTGTGTGTTTTCTTCTTGTTCCTGCCTGTGTACATGACATAAGCTGCTGCTCATAACCAATTGCCCCTTGCGGGATTAATAACGTTGTTGATTGATTGATAAAGACACATTTATCCATACTATATCAGAGATGACCATTCACGAATATACAAATGTGTAGAATTGCTGCTTTAGATAGATAGATCTTTAATTTTGTCATTGTACAGGTACAACGAAATTACAATAAACTCAAGGTGCCAACACGCAACAACAAGACAATATAAAAGCAACAAGACACTATAAAAACAATACATGGGACTTAAAATAGACGTGATAGGGAATATGTGCATAAATAAATAATAAATTAAATTGTATTGCACGGAAGGCTTATATCATTTCAATATTAGCAGCGTTTAGTGCACATATGGCCCTGGGAAAAAAACTGAACTTGAGTCTGTTTCTCCGGGAAGACATTAATATGTCTGTTTCTGTGTGTTAGGTGTTGCGGTCCGCAGCAGATTGGTCGGCAGGTATCAAGTACCACGAGGAGTCCATCCACAGTGCCTACGTCCAGGTCATCGCTAAGAGCAAACACTACATCTACATCGAGGTAAACCAGCACTGAGGCCAGGATAGGAAAACACAAAATATGATTTGAAGTCGTAATGAGAGTTGAGCTCAATTCATCCGTGTGCTGTGGGTGAGCCAAACGACTCGCTGCACCCTCGCTGTGAGGGGGACCCAAGTTCCCATCAGCAAAAACACGTGGGTTTGCTGTCCTGGGTTTGCTGTCCTCAGGACGGCAGATAGCTTGCACATCTTCCGGCGCAGACTGAAAACTCATCTCTTTCGACTCCACTTCGAGCGATAGAATTATTAACAAAGCACTTTTATACTAATAAAGGACTGGATTACCTAAAGCCAGTTGAGTAGCACTTGAAATGTTTGGCTCTATGAAACCTGATGTACTTATATGATTCTGTTTTCTTCAAGGTTGTGTCTTCCTGGTCGAATGTACTTATTGTAAGTCGCTTTGGACAAAAGCGTCAGCTAAATGCAATGTAATGTAATGTAATGCTGTGTCACTGACTATCCCATTGTGTAATAATGTACTTTAATTAGGTTCATTGACCTTTCAGCATTATCACAGGTTTGTAAAAAACATTGAATAACTTTAGTTTTTACAATATGACATTAATACTAAATGGACAACGATATTCAAGATAGACTAAAATGTTGGATCTACATAACATAACACATCAACACTGCACTACTAGTACTGCAGAATCGAAAATTGAATGTGCTTCCTCGTGTCTATCTAAGTTGTACTTTTAGAAACAAACTATGAACTGTATTAAGGGTCTCTCTTTTGGTTTGTTTCTGTATATTTGATCTTCTCCTATCAGAACCAGTTCTTCATCAGCTGTGCCGACAACAGGACGGTCTACAACAAGATCGGAGACGCCATCATCGAGAGGATCCTCAGAGCGCACAAGTACTTCCCTTTTTCTTTTGGTTGTTTAGGTTGTACTTGTGATTAAAGGAAGGCGTTGAGACACGATTGGTCTCCTCTACTTCTGCTTCTCACGTTTATGTAACCGATGTGTGTTTGCTCTCAGGGAGGGTAAGAAGTACCGGGTGTATGTGGTCACCCCCCTGCTGCCTGGCTTTGAGGGGGACATCACCACCGGAGGAGGGAACGCCATCCAGGCTGTGATGCACTTCAACTACAGGTGGCACTCATGGCACTGAAATAAAACTAATTTTATATTAAAAGAAGAAGAGTGAGGGGAAATGAGAAAGCATATTTGGAAGTGTCTTTAGAAAGCTGTTGTATTTCTTTCAAGTTGTGAGTCTAGGATGTGAAATATTTTAATACTTTCTGATTATGTTTCAATCCGCCTCCTCAGAACCATGATCAGGGGAGAGTACTCCATCATCTCACAGCTGAAAAAGGAGAGTAAGTACAAAAATACATTTTAAATTAATCGTTTAGAAACCCAATATTAAAGTTAGAGTTGGAAAAGTGCAATTATTTTCTAATTTATCCTCATTTTCTCTCTTTTCCCTCCTCTCCTCTCCAGTGGACGACCATTGGATGAATTACATCTCCTTCGCTGGCCTGCGGACTCACGCTGAGCTGGAGGGACGCCTCGTCACAGAGCTCATTTACGTCCACAGCAAGATGCTCATCGCTGACGACAACACCGTCATCATCGGTCAGTCTTTCGTCTGCTCTCTCACTTTCTCACTTTTTTTCTTTTATGTTGTTCCACCAACTTCTATTCTCACTCTTGTCACTTTTCAAAGGTGATAAATCAAAAAAATCTGGCCTCGGTTGTATGTCTGTAACCAAGTGTGCAGTAACGAATGTGAACACAAACAGTGGCCGTTTCTCAATCGCGAGGATGCTGGCTTGGTAGTCGTGTACTTCCAAGTCACTTCCTTCAGATACGAAGCAAGTATACTTCCATGCCACGGCTTCGGAAAACGAAGAATAATGGAACAGTGTGCCACTCTCTCTAACGGTTTCAACATAAACTGTACCGAAAATAAATACCTCACGATGTCTATCTAATTATGAACTTGCTTTACTTTCACGGAACACTTTTTTGGTGATAACAAATTTAACAAAGTAACATATTTACCAACACATGTTCTACGCCACTACATACTTACATTTAAATGTGTGCTGCGTCGGTTCAGCCATTCTCCGCAAGGGTTTTTGAAATTGGTCCGTGCGCAAAGCATTGTGGGGATTTTAAGGACGCGAAGTCTACCCATGTGCAGCCTCGAAATTTCCCCCAAACCAAGGACGCGGACTCGGTGGAATTCCAAGTATGCTGGAGATTGGAACAGTCCTTCGGCGGCACTCGATGACGTAGAATCCTTGAAATATTGGCTTGGAAGCCAGTATCCTTGAGATTGAGAAACGGCCAGTGACTGCTGTAGCATAGCTCTGCTGCGCCCTCTGGTGGCTGATAAGGCGCAGCACTTCAACTCAAAAAGGATTGAAATATGCTCTCTCTTGCACTCGTTTTTTATTTTACTATAGCTTTTACTCTCTAAAATGCTTATTCTGACAATATTGTTAATGTAAGTCTTATAAAGGTCTATTGGTTTATAGAACCATAACATTATTGCTATTTGAAGCAAGATGATGTCGTATTGCTACTAGTCAGATAATATTCAGTTTCTTGTTCTGTTCGATTGTTTCAGGTTCTGCCAACATCAACGACAGAAGCATGCTGGGTAAACGTGACAGCGAGGTGGCGGTGATTATCGAGGACTCTGAAAAGGTCCCTTCGATGATGGATGGACAGGAGTACGAAGCTGGACCCTACGCACTGCAGCTGCGCCTCGAATGCTTCAGGTGTGTGTGTGATTGAGACAGAGTTGTGTTTAAGGAGCACTTTATCATTTAGTGGAACATTATACAAAGTTATGTTTCAATTCTAAAGGCTTACTAGATGTATCTTGCCATCCATATTTCCTCAAAATCACTTAGAAATCTCTTACGAGTAATAAAGAATGCTCTGTTTACATAATGTATCTTCTCTTTTGAACAGGACTATCCTTGGAGGTCACACTGACACCAGTATCGACCTGTCTGACCCGATCAGCGAGCGCTTCTATAAGGAGGTGTGGATGACCACGGCTGGCCGCAACGCCACAATCTATGAGAAGGTACGGGGATACATGATGGTTTGGGAGGGGACATTATAAGTCATTAGCCTGAGGAGCTAGATGGTGCTTTTTAAAATAGCTGTTACTTAAACATCATTATCAAATGTCACCTATCTAAGAAAAACATGTATAACAAGTTTAGGATTCATTCAATATTAAGGCACAAGGTGAAGTGGGGATCATTCTAGTATATCCAATCACCATAAATATGTGCCACTAGTGGAGAGCCTGACTGTTGTTGACTTAGGCCCAATCCCAAACCACGCCCTACACCCTACCCCTACACACTCCCCCTCCGTGACGGAGTGAACTCCGTGGAGTGACACTCGCAGCTCAACGAGGCTCCCTCCTGTCAGATGGAGGGAGTAAATACAGCAGCAAGCTTTGGGACGGCCTCCCCTCTCTCCGGCAGAAACAGGAAATGCCGTAACTGTATGTAACAACGGTTTCAAATCTGCATCTCTTAGACAAAAAATTGAAATGAATAACTAAAATAAAACTCCAAACGTCTTTAATTGTGTTTTTGTTTTTTGTAAAGCTCTTTTAGTTTTAAACCTGATGTTTATAAGCTTCTTAATTTTTGCAACGGTCTGTAAATATACACAACTTTATAATAAAATGCACACATTTACCTTTTTCTAGACTAAACACAGGTACAATCCGAAGTTAAAAACATATGAGGTCATCATGAGGTTGTTAACATCGCAGTTTATCAGTGGGTGTTTGCTGGAACTACTTGTTAACAGCATGTTTCCTGGCGGACACACACAGCGTTGAGTCCGGTCAGGTAGAGACCGGTCTCCAGTCAGCACCGCTGCAGACTCGCCGTTTGATTGCTTGGTAGCCCACTCCCCCTCCACACTCGTTGGTTTGGAACAGCACTTAATGTGGCGGACCCTCCGCGCGAACAAGCAGTGTGTAGGGTGTAGGGTGTAGGGTGTAGGGTGTAGGGTGTAGGGCGTAGGGCGTAGGGCGTAGGGCGTAGGGCGTAGGGCGTAGGGCGTAGGGCATAGGGCGTAGTTTGGGATTGGGCCTCTATCACAATGCTTTATCCTCGGGCCATTTCACAGTCAGTTTTTCCACCCCGAAAAGTAATTGGGATTTTTTCTTAGCAACCTGTTAGTGGGCGGTCAACATGTCGAATTGTCCTTGGGTACTTAACTCCGAATTGTCATTGAAGTATATGTAAGGTGTTTCTTTGGACTAAAGCATCAGCTAAATGCCATGTATTGTAACCTTGAATATGTGTACTATATACCAAGTTACTCTATCCAACAGATGGTGATATATTTCCCATGCTGTGGACTAACATTGAGCTGCAAGAAGTGGTTTATAACTAGTGTTTAAGTTCAAGTCATCAGTATGTAAACAGTACATGTGTGTATGTTTTTCTGCAGGTGTTCCGATCCCTTCCTTCCTCCCTGGTGAGGAACATGTCTGAGCTGGAGCAGTACCAGGCCACGCCGGGTTTGGCCCAGTCCGACCCGGCCCGCGCTCAGGAGGAACTGCGCAAAATCCGAGGCTTCCTGGTCCAGTTTCCTCTGGACTTCCTGTCTGAGCAGAACCTCATGCCCTCAGTTGGAACCAAGGAGGCCATGGTCCCAACGGAGATCTGGACATAAAGGATGCCAGACACGTACACATCAGAGTTGAACTTTCTGAGCATCTTGAGTGAAGTATCAGGATCGTCTTCGAATTTGTAACGTTGGATTATTGCAGAGACCGTCTTTAATCCAGAGATGAGCGAGTCTTCTGGATTGACATGACTGCCGGGCATTGACAAATCCCTCAAGCCTGTTTCTACTGAAAATCACTAAACTGTAGTCACAACTTTTTGGGTAAGCATTAACTCGTTTGGGATGTATGAAGAAGTGAACGATATCGCACCTGAGGACAATATTTATGACTGCATTGAAGCTGTGGAGATGAATAACAGGCACATGAACTCTGGTTTTAGTGAATCAACTCAACTCTGCCCACGTTTCCCTTTTGGACTGGATTTCTAAGGTATGAGGGTGAGGCAAGAGCAAGTTTTTGACAATGACGCTAATAAATATTCAGTTCTAGTTTAAAGTAATCGCAAAATACACCGAGATGGTGATGCATGTGACTTCCTGAGTTTGTGGTCTGTTCTTGTAAGGTGCATCAGCGCTACGTACACCGGTTTATGAGCTCACAGAGGACTGATGAGTTTCAAAGTCTGTTTTCTCAGATGTGTCTTGATGGTTATTTTCTGTAAAACAAATCCAAAACGTGATCACTTTTTCCTGTGCAGTACATGGTTCTAACTATGCTTGAGTCTTGTTAACTGAATTCTAAAATGCATATACCAATCACATCTCTGAAAAACATTATATTTCCTGTCGTCAGTGCTTAGTGACAGATAACCACTAGACATGATGAGGTCTGAACTGTACTGCTGAAATCAGAGGGAGCTGTGTTGATCTGAAAAAGGGACAACATCTAATTCAACTCAGTTACAACACAATGTGTTCAGAGGCTGTATCAGTGGTACATTTCAGAGGCTGGATGGGACAATCGGGTCATCATTTCAAAGTAGTCATTTCCTCTTTGCTCAACAGATGGTGCTATTTTCTTAAAAATGTACGGCGGTCTAATATGGGCCTTTATATTCCTCATGCCACTTCTCTCAGTCTTATATACAGTGTTTGAACAATTTAGACAATGATTATTATAGCATGCAACCCATGCCGAGATAGCGTTTACGTTTCCAGTTTCCTGGCAGTTCCAGTGGTTTTCTTGATGAAGATTTTTGCTCAGCGTCAAAATAAAATCTTGTTTTTTTTAAATGTATCACAGCCTGTATTGGTCAAAGAGAAGGGACTCTGACTTACAGCACAATATGAAGCAAATGTAATTTGTATAGACTAAATGTGACGCGAAAGAACCACTCCTTTAGAACCCAGCTGAACTGGATTAGTTAACGATATTTAGGTTATGAATCACAGAGTTGTCAGAGGAGGATTCCTGTAAATCAAACCATCAACGGCTAATTTGGCATCAATAGGCCTTTGTATATGACTTTCCGCCTAAGTCACGCACACAGCATCAGAATCCTTGACACTTATTCAACAGAAGAAGACAATAACTTTGATGGAGGGGATCCATATATTGTTAAATGGGACCAGGGAATTGATGGATGTAAGCTGAAGTGGGTGAAAACATCCCAGCCTCTGAACTGATTTCAACATATTGTTTACCCATGCTGGATTTATCATTGCATTATCCATGGAAAATTGATGTATTTTCTATGTATGGCATATGGATGGTTGTGACTTCATATTTCTTTATCATAACCATCCGCTATCTGTACCCCTTGAGCTCAATTCAGCTGATCTTGCTTCCACTGTTTATGTATCGTACCTTTTTTCTACATTTGAAACCTTTTTCTAATTTGTGTCTGTTCATGTAACACAGTGTAATTCATCATTTAAGTGGCTAACAAATAAAAATATATTTGGAAATGTTTCTTTCAGTTAACTAAGTTAATATAAGAACTGTATTCATCTTTCTTTATTGAATATTTACACTGTAATCGAAGGATTATTTATTACAGATATCTTAGGTGTCTTTCTTTCTTTTTTCAGATATCTCTCAGAGGGGCGTGGGGAGGGGCTCCTTATTTTCATCTAAAGTAACAGACAGAGAATCAGCACTTTTGAAACAGGGCTGAAACAGAGGGGATTATGGGTAATGCTGCAATGATCTGTTTGGTGTTTGGAGCCGAACACTTCAGAGACATGTTTGTATCTGAGTCCTGTGATATATTGATGAAAAACAGTATAATAGGAGACCTTTTAAGATGTACAAATATAAAAAGTAATGGAGTAAATCAACCTTAATTGCCATGCGAACAAAATAAACGTTTGAACCAGCAAGAACCTGCTCATCCTAAATGTATCTCACAGTCAGTGCAAACTCTTGGGTGTAATAATCAGGTGGTTTACCTTAGGGGGTTTTATTGTTTTCCCAGTGTTGTGAATCCTCAGGATGGAGGTTTAATGTGCAACCAGGAAATGTAACTGTTAATGAGAATTAAATATTAAAGTATGTGAATACAAAGAAGTGGAAGAGATATTCCTTGGAAACGGACGGACTCGCCCTACATGAGGCTTTCAGTCAAACCCATTGAATGTATGTTGGCCAACTGTGCGCACTCAGGCCTCTCCCGTCGGGACTGTTAATAAAGCTTACGGGACAATGAGGATTTCTAACGAATCCAGCAGGTTTCCTGGCAGGTCTAGTTTTGATTTGATTAAGCATTTTACCCAGCGACAACATATAATCCCCTTCTTTGTAATGTAGCGGTCTGTATCCGTCAAGCTTTTTAAAAATAATTTTGTAATGGTATTTGGCATTTTTTGTAATTTTTGTAGGGAACTTGTGTTTTTTATTTCGAACACTTACCACAATATCTTGTTAGGTTAGCAACTTCCTCTAAATGTGATGATGCACCTTAAGACATCCGCTCAGCTTAGTTATTCTGTGTTTTGTTCTAAAAAATAACTGGTTAATGATCTTCACTAAGGTTATGAAATTATAATGTACGGCCTTGGAGATGCCAGAAAAATAATTCTAACGACATTTCAAGTTTCATTTAGCAGGATTCCTGTATTCGCAAGAATGAGCCTTTGATTGCATCTTGATGACTACGTAACACACCCAACATGAGAATGGACTTATTCAGCAGACTCACTTAATTGTTTATGATCACCGCCTTTGTTTCATCAGACTAAACGTTTTGGTTTGCAAATTGTTCTGATTTGGATATCAAAGTGTTGGATACCCTTGTTTTATCATTTCGTTATCTTTTCAATAGGAGTCATATAAAATGTAGGAAGACTTTTTTCTGCAGTTGGAAGTATTTCTGAATTGAGCCTGTTCATGTAACACATTTTCTTTTGCAAAGTTAATGTCAGAATGTCAATCTTTTTTCAGTTTTCTCAACTGTGTATTTTCATTGTAGTGTATGGAATCTTTTTTTTTGAAATATTAACTCGCGAATGTTGAGTTAATATTGTTGTGCTGCTTTTTTTTATTATCAGATAGTCAAGGTGAGTCATTTCATTTCATTTCAAACCTTTATTTAACCAGATTGGTCCTATTGAGATCATAGATCTCTTTTTCAAGGGAGACCTGGAGCATATAGGTTCCACATGAAACATAAAACAATAAAGGACTTATACATTATATTTACAGGATACATTTACATAGTTATAGACATTTACAAGTGCCCATAGTATCAACAAGCATTTAATTTAGCCTAGCTTTAAAAACATGCAGAGGAATGAGATTGCTCAGTTTCAATTCTTGCTGAAGACTGTTCCAAGCAAGTGGAGCTGCGCACATAAAAGCTGTCTTACCTAAGACAGTCCTTGCTCTTGGCACATCTAACAATACTACATCATGCGATCTCAGACAATAGCTGCTTGCAACTCTCTGTGTTATCAGAGAGCAGATATAATATGGGAGTTTACCCAAAAAAGCTTTATAAATAAACGTGTACCAATGACTGAGCCTCTTTACAGTAAGTGATGGCAGACCTGCTTTGGCATACAGGGTACAGTGATGAGTAAGTGCTTTACAATTAGTGACAAATCTCAGTGAGTAAAGGTTTACAAATTATATTTAAAACTAAGCGTGTCGCTGCTCATTCAAGGTTGAAATAAACGTTTCCTCCCAAATGTTAAATGTAACGCAGGTGATCAGATGTTTTGCCAAGTATTATAAATCTACTTTATTTGTCTGTTGACAAAACTCCAACTTTATGAAAGTGGAATTGCTGGAGTATTTATTTGTATTTATTAAGTGCAAGATACACCTGGAATCAAATGTAATAGCCTCACAATATCCTTTCAAATGACTTCTTTTTGTCTGTGTCAGTGTGTTTCCTCATTCTTAATGTTAGATCATGTCCATCACAATTTGTGTCATTGTGTTATGTCCCTTTTTCATTGGTATTTTCACATTTATCTTGTAAGATATGTTTGTTGTTTTTACATTGCTTTTACATTGTCAATTGTGTTTGTTGATTTGTGAAGCCCTCTGAGACAAATATGATTTGTGATATTGGGCTATATAAATAAACTTGATTTGAGTTTAATTGAATCATGTTTGTGGTTGTACTGAATTGCATAATATGCTGAAGTGCTGTTGTTATTTTACACACAATAAAATAATAAAATAAATATATAGGCCTATATTAAAAAGCGAAATATATATCAAAATACAAAATAAATGGAGACTTGTCAGTGAGTCAGTTTCAAATTCAAATTCAAAACCTTTATTTATCCAGGTAAAATCCCATTGAGATCAATGATCTCTTTTTCAAGGGAGACCTGCAGCAGTAGGTTCCACAAGAAGACATACAAACATAAACAACAGAACAACCTGCTTAACCTGCCTAGCATATGATTGACAATATTCAAATGAGCAAATAGCTTCTTATGTCAATAATTATGAAGTTTATACGATGTTTTTGAAAGAAGCAACCACGCAAGTAAATTAACTCAGTTAAGTTCTCAGGAAACACCACAGAGAAATACCAGAGGCTCAATTAATTCTCTGGAAACCTGAGAGCACAACAATGGCTCATGAATCCTTTCCCATAACTCGGTGACAAGTGATGAATTACACAGAATATTATATAAGATGCCAAATAACACTCAGCACGACAGACATTCTTTCACTTTTGTTCTATTCATGTCTATATATTTACCAGGTTTTGACACCCTCAACTAGCTAATCTGGTCCCTCAGTGCATTGCTTTTCTTTTGTGTTACATTTAGTGGATCCTAAAGTACATTGTTTTCTACTCGTACAGATTGCTATTCAGCACGTGAAAACAGTTGTATTATGTCTTGTTTGGCTCTGAAGGGTTTTCCAAAGGGGAGTAGTACAAATTAATAACATAAAAAGCAATGTTCAAGACAACCACACAGTGCCTCAAATTGTACTTAAAAACAACACTTGAGTAAATCTATCTTATAATAGTGAAACACTTAATTGCTGGATTTCCCATTCAAGACTCAATCAAATTTAGTGTGCAGGAAGGACACAATACCAGGTGACCTGAATTCAAAGGCAATAGTCCTACAATACATTTAATTATAACTTAATTTAAATCTAAAAAGTTATAGTCAAATATTTTGTAATTGTAGTACATGATATTCTGAAGTCTTGTTATTTGGTCCAGCCTTAATTGCAGTTTGTTGAACAAAAAGGCAGGGTATATAACTTGTAGTATAGAAGTATATAAATGTAATTAATTTTGTTTTATTTGTTTCTCAGTGAAATAGAGATGACTAAAAACAAATCTTTATTTCTTACGTGTGCTTGAAAAACTATTTGACAAAGACGTCCTCATGTCTTTGAATAACAACACACAGGGTGACATCATGCATTATTTAATAAAACGCTGCTGCTCTTTAGTCCGCATGTATGTACTATGAGGGTCATCGAAAAGAAAAAAAGAAAAAGTTTGGGAGTCCCTTCAGCCTCAGCAGACCCCGCCCAGTAACAGGCGTGGTTTGCCGGGGCAGTAGGCAGCGCTTCCCCCCCTCCTCCACACTCACTCGCTGTCACAGTGGCAGTTGGAGGACGAGCAGCACCAGCAGCAGTAATCCACTTTCCACGGCGCTTCACATTTCTCTGTTCCGTCTACATCCCGCAGACATGGACCTGGAGGTGCTCATGCACCCGGCGCTCTCGCTTCCCATCCTCCCCGTGTTTGCGCTCTAGCTGTGCGCTCCCGCTGCTGACCACAAGGAGACTGTTATTATTTGTCCGTGTAGCAGAGAGGGGACCGACGGTAGAGCCGCAACCAGGGACTCAAACCATCGTGACAGCAAAGGCCGTTTCAGGATATCAGGCGACTGAGAGCGGCTCGCTGTGTCCTCCATCATGGCGACTGACTCTCCAGCTCGGAGCCTGGACGAAATCGACCTGTCCGCTTTGAGGGTATGTGACATTTTTACATCTTTCAAATACAGCTTCATGTGAGAGGAACTGGCGTGTGTGCGTGCGCGTTTCTCCTTCCCTTGAACCTGACGGTGTTCCCTGAATAGCAACCGGCAGGATGCGGATGTGTTGGAGCCAGGCCGCCACAATGTGCCAAACTATACATTTTATTATATTTAAACAACATTAACAAATGTAACAGCTGCCTCGTTCACCTGAAGCCTTACCTTTATTCAAGCCAGCAGCAGGAAGGTGGATGGTGTGTGTGGTGGAGGTTGTAGCTGGGTTTCTGCTGACCTGGATAGTGTTTTTTTCTCTCTCTAGCCCAGGCTATTATAGGCCCATCAGCTTTGATTCAGAGTCAGACAGCAGTGAAATGTAACCTACTTCTCCCACACACTGCTTGGATTGTGTGTTAAAGAATTAGACATGAACGGTTCCTTGTTTTCATCCCACATTTGTATTAATCCAACCCCTCTTCTTACTCCTTTTTTTGGCAAATGAGTTCCCCTGCTGTTTTGGAGCTATAGTACTCTTGTGCCAACCTGTAGTCAGTGCAGCCTGCTCTCCTCCATCAAAGCTTAATCTCTGTATGCTGCAATAGCCAGTTCTTTTGTTCATCCGGTGTGTGCTGCAAACCACAAAACACACTCACAAACAGCCTCCTGTCCTGGTACCCATGTTTTCGCTTCGCTGAGCACGGTGTGTGTTATTCTGAGTGTGTATGGATGTCTGCCAGGCTGCACACAAGTAAGGGATGCTGCACACAAGAAAAAAGGGCTCCAGCTGAAGACCTGTTTGCTGCTCTGAGAAATGAAACCACATCACACACTCAATGCAGTTGTTGTCTGCCTGCCCGTATTTACCTTCTTTATTATGCCCACATGTTTCATTGAATGCCTTTTATTCTGTCTGTCTCCTCTCTGTTCATGTCTGTTTCTGCCTAAGTTACAACTGCTCGTCCATCTACCTGCATGCTGTTCCTCCTTTATTTTTTTATTCATGTCCTCGCCGTTTTTCCAGCATCTTGTTCGTCTGACTGACTGAATGCACCCCCCTGTCTATCTGCCAGCCGCCCCTGTCTCTTAGCATTATCTTTCGTTGCCCACCTCTCTGCCATGCCTGCTTGAAGAAGAGTAATGTTCACAGGGAAGGCGAATGAAATGTTCATAACAAATGCCACTTTTTGGGTTAGCACCTGCACTATGTTGCATGTTTTCACCGCTGTAGGGATTGTAGATTTGGAGGAAGAATATAAAAGGAGAGGAAGAGAAAGAATGAGACAGACAGAGGAATGAGGAAGAGATGGGAAGTGTCTGTGCATTGGGAGTCAGACCATGCTTGTCTCTCAGAGGCGTGATGTCATGTCCCTCACTCTGACTCAGGCAGCTACAAGGACACATATAAATGCTCCCATTTGTGTGAACATCACAGGGTCATCTATTTGTGTATTTATCCGAGTTGTCTATTTGTACCCTTTTGCCTGTATAAATGTGTACCTGGCTCCTAAGGAATAGTGTATTTCTCTTTCTAAGATCATCTTCAGTCCTGAGGCGAGAGATTTTCCTCAGATCGAAATGTTGCCTTGAAAAGAGAAAAAGAGAAATACCCTTTTTATCTGTAGTCTCATGGTGTGTGCAGACATGCGTCCTGCCGCGGTTAGGTATTTTTTTGCTTTTTGAGAAGCTTTATCTGGATGTGCGCACTCACTGTTCTGATGTTTGTGTCTATTACCAGAATGAGAAAGATCTTAACACTTTGTGTGACCGACATGACACCCTTCTGTTCTGCCATAGAATAAGATTTGTTTTAATAATAAGACCTACGTAAAGTAAAGTAACCTCTAAAACCCCCGGTTTGCTTATAGGTTACCTTGTTTTAAACACTTCCTATACAGCAAGGCTTTGTGGTAACCCAAAAAACCTTAATTTTGGTTTGAATATTCCCCTTAGTGTAAACACCACACAGCTTCAGTCAAGTGTTGGAGCAAACGGAACCAATCATTTTCCCAACGCAGCGAAAGAGAAGTCAAAAGAGTCCACGTTGAAAGGGCATGCCAGTGTTAACATGTACCTGGAGCACAGAAATGCATTTTTGCCTCCTCTGTAGAAACGTTGAAGTTGATTAGTGAAGGTCACTTTTTCGTGAAAACTATTAATCACTGAACCAACGGGAGATTTTCACATCACACAGCCTTTTCGATCTTTCTCCACATTTGTCTTTATCTCAACTTCTGTTTCCATTCGTCACGTTTTTCCATCTTCCCATCACATATTATTAACCCCCACACACACACACGCACACATGCATGCACGCACGCACACACACACACACACACACACACACACACACACACACACACACACACACACACACACACACACACCATGTATACATCACTTCAGGGGACATTACATTGACTTACATGCATTTCCTGGAGACTTATCCTTACCTTAACCATAACCAACACATGCCTAACCCTAATCCTAACCCTAACCCTAACCAAGTATTCACCCTAAAATGAATGATCCCCCTCATGGGGACCTCCAATTTGTCCCGATAAGGGAGGCGAGTCCCCACACGTGACTGTGTAAACAGATTTAGGTCCCCACAAGTATAGTAATGCTAGGCCACACACACATACACACACACACACACACACACACACACACACACACAGTCTCAGATGAGTGTACAGTCAACCACTGGACTGGCTAGACAGGAAGTAGGTCAGCTGGCGAGGTGGGGAGGGAGGGGGGGGTGATTATAATACTAGCGTTGGTGATAGTGGGGGGGATTGTTTTTGTCGGTCCATAAAGGGGGGGGGAGGGGGGTCAGGGTGCAGAGTTAGCTCCTGCACTAGGTCGTTCTTAGGCCCACTGACCAAAGATTCAAGGCTTTATTCTTAAAATAAGCCCCATGGTCCTCCAACAATGCAACATAAATATATAAATGACATAAAACAATTAGACAGATTAAAAAAAAAACTATAAAAATGGAAGAAGAAACAGAGTAGAAGATAATGTTGCAAGGATTGAGCAAAAACACACACACACTGATGTAAAAAGACAGACAGAATTGAGTGGGAAGTAGAGAAGAGAGAGAAGTGGCTTTTTATGTTTGCTGTCTCGGCACTTTTCCCTTTTTCTCTTTGTCTCCCTCTCTCACTCTCTTTTCTTGCGCCTCATCGGCTCCCTGCAACCTTTTCTGGTGTCGTGCATCAACCCCTGCACCTGTACAGATGCGGCAGGTTTCACTCCAGTGGGAAAGGCCAGGGTGAAAGGCACACACAGAAATGTCCCCGCTGTTGAGCGTGACTCACAATGACAGGAAAAAAGCCAGAAGAGGTCGATACTCTGTGGTGTTGATACAGACTGTGGTTTTTATGTAAAGCGTTACTCACACGTGCTCACAGTCATAGGTCAGAGACGTCAGCAGCACAGGGTCATCCAGTCAGCTGATGAGAGCAACAGATGGGAAACCAGCAGGAAGTGTAGACACACACACACACACACACACACACACACACACACACACACACTGGCAATACTGAAGTGAGCTGGGACTCAGGTGGGCGCTCTGAGATGAAAGCGAGAGCAGGTGAGGATGAAGGGATATGGACACGGTAAGAGAAAAAGACGCAGAGGGATAGTGGGCCCGTGATGGATTCACTGAAATGGGACGTGTGAAGATGATTTGAGCTTAGAGAGATTTAGAAAGAAAGTGGGGTAGAAATGCAGAGAGAAGAAGAAAGTGCTGTGCTCGGGATAAAAGGTGGAGATGTGACCAGTGACTAAAGTAGTCCGAAGCAAAGACCCCTCTCCAGATCTCCTCCCTCCCTCCCTCCCTCTCCATTCCCGTTGCCCAGTAAGGCCGCATTCCTCGGCCCCTCACCATGGCCGCCATAGTAACGGGGCCACAGCAGTGCCCAAGGCTTACACAGAGCTTATTCATGAATAGTCTATATACTGTATGGCAGTCTGTCGCTGAGAAATGCCCCTCTCCCCTCCCACCCTCCTCTCTACTCTGCCAGCCTGCTTCTAGTTGACCTATTTCCCCCTCCAAGTCACTGATGGAGCCACAACCAATCTTTAATTCTCTGCTACGCCCTTACACAAGCACTTAGATGTCAGACCTGCAAAGAATCTGCCAAATGATATCAGTAGTCGATGTCATTTTCATGTAAGTGTCATTTTGATACCAGATGATTTAGGAAATTAGTGATTCAGTCAATGCCAAATCCTGCAGAGACTTGTTATGTTCAACTCCTTCTCACAGGAGGTGATTTAGTTTAGGTAGTAATTCTAAGCACAGTTTCTGCCGATAAATTACATTTAAAGAAATAGACCTTAGAGGGTACAGTAACATAAACCCTGTATGATTTCTAAGTGCAAAAACAATGCGAAGACAAGGCCAAACTTACATTTTTTTATAATAAAACGTTTCAGCATATTTAGGAGGCATTTACTGATACATTAAGGGAGTGTGCACAAGACCACTCTCCCTAACTCATGCTATCTTCCCTTTCCCTTCCTGTTTAACACATAAAGTACACACTGAAACTCAATCTGAAGTGCTTAAAGGAATCACATGCATGTAAACAAGTCCATAGCAGGAGCTGAATCCCTCCGTAGTGTCTGAAATACACGGTGCAGGGCAGGAAGGCAGGAAAGATGGATTGGAATGACAGAAGGAGAGAGCGGGCAGAAATTGAGAAGAAAAGATGAATGATGAGGGGATGGAGGGATGACAGGAAGAGGTGTGAGATGGCAAGCTGGCAGAGACGGATGGGAGGCGGGGATGGGTTCATTAACATCGCAGAACTAACTCTGCGGCGCGGATCATCTTTGGCGGGCTGTAAATCTGTGATTAAGAGTTGACTCGTGTTAATGTACTGTCCATGTCTGGGTGAGACCTACTGGGAATTAGGCTACAACAGTGTAGAAGCAAGCAGTGGTGAGCCCTGTTGTTAAGTGTAAGTGGTTTTATAAGATGCAGAC